GGGCTGTGCCTGGAGCCCCGCGAGCACGCGTGGATACTGGCGGCCGCCGAGGGCCGCCTGGAGGTGCTGTGGGAGCAGCTGGAAGCCGAGCCCGCCCTGTTGCTGCGCTGCGACCCGATCACGGGCTACACGGTGCTCCACTGGTTGGCCAAGCACGGGTGCCACGAGGAGCTCATCCTGGTGCACGACTTCGCCCAGCGCCGGGGGCTGCCGCTCGACGTGAGCGCCTCGGGCAGCGGCGGCCTCACGCCCCTCCACCTGGCCGCCCTGCAGGGCCACGACATGGTCATCAAGGTGCTGGTGGGCGCCTTGGGGGCTGACCCCTCGCGCCGCGACTACAGCGGCCACAGGGCCTGTCACTACCTGCGGCCCGACGCGCCCCAGAGCCTGCGGGAGCTGTCGGGGGCCGAGGACTGGGAGACGGCGGGCGGCGGCGAGCGGATCAACGCCAACAATAACAGCAGCAGCGCCGCCGCCCGGGCGCTGCGACGGACCCCGAGCTCGGTGGGCACGAGCTCCGTGGAGGCCCCGGCGAGAGCGGCGGCGGCGCCCGGCAAGGAGAAGAACTACGCGGGCAGCCGGGTGGCGCAAATTCAGGGCCTGCTCCGCCAGATGTTCCCCTTCTTCCAGGACCGTTGAGGGCGACAGGGACTGGAGAGCGCGGACGGACCGCGACGCTGCGGTCGAGGCCTCGGTCTCGGGTGGTCTCGGGCCCCACCCGAAGGGGCGGCAGCTCCGGCCGCAGCCGAGTGCGCTGGGCCTGCAAGCAGCGGACCACCTCCAGGTTTGTCGCAGGTACCTGTCCCAGGTCACCTACGGCCACCGGCCAGGAGACCTGGGGACCGGGAATCCGTCACCGAGAGAGAGCGCAAAGACCAAAGCTGTCCTGGCGCAAAACTAGTCCCCAAAACTAGGGGACTAAGGAGTTAGGGGCAGGAGTGTGGTCCTGCTTGGGAGAGGGAAAGTAAGGCTTCCAGGAGCCATTTCTGGGCAGGCAGAAGCTCCGCGTGTATTGGGAAGCACTTGCTAGAAGAATGAGTTAAGACTGGAACCCACTGATACAGAGGAAGCTCCTAACTGAAGGCTAGACTCGGCTGTTCCTGCGGGCACTCACCCTCCCCCCGCCAACCTGCTCCTGAGACATCCAGGCTTTACCGGTACTTTTTCTAATGTATCACCGATGACTTCTTAAGCATATTAAAGCCGGGTATGTTTTCCTTTCACATGACAAAGCTGTCCTTTGAGTGACTTTTTTTTTTTCATTAACCACTGAGTGCGGGAAGCTTCCTACATTCGCGGGGAAGAGTTCACCAACCCATGGCCATGAGCTAGTGATCCGGGAGGCTCTGGACCTTGTTCCCACAGCAAATGGCCAAGCGGGGCGCTGGAAGGAGCTACACTCACCTTGGCTCTGAGTGGAGACACACAGTTTGCCTGTCTCCCGGACTCTTTTGGCAGCCAGGTCCCGCTTCTGGCACAAGTCTCATCCTAGAAGAGTTGTCTGTAGGGGGCAGAGGGGTGGTAAAAGGGGAAAATCTCCAAATGTACATTTCTGATGTTTTGTGGTGAGTCATGTAATTTACCTTGACTTCTGCCCTCCTGGGGGACACACCCATCGACGCTTTTTCCAAGATAGGGCTTTAATCCTCGGCATTGCTTTTTAATTACATCTAATACATAAGTTGTAGTTTGGAAACTGGCTCCCATTCAGAAATCGTATGAAGCCAGTAGAATACAGGAGGGTTGACTTTGAGAGGAGGGAAAGCAGTTGGTGGCTAGGGATCCATGCTGCCTTAGAGAACAGTGCATTTTCATTTGTTTTTGTTTTTGTTTTTTTAGATTTTATTTATTTACTTGAGAGAGAGAATGAGCGCGCGCGCGCGCGCGAGAGAGAGAGAGAGAGAGAGAGAGCGAGCATTGGCAGGGGGAGGAGGAGAGGGAGAAGCAGACTCCTGAGTAGGGAGCCTGAATCGGGGCTCGATCCCAGGACCCTGGGATCATGACCTGAGCCGAAGGCAGACGCTTAACCGACTGAGCCACCCAGGCGCCCCAGAGAACAGTGCATTTTCAAAAATAGCACTGTATCCCTAGAAGCTTGGGCCGCCCTTGCAATGGACTGTTGCATCCCCAGCCCTCCCCTCCCTGCCCTTGAACACCAGGGAGAAACAGTCATCACCAAACACAGAAAGCCCAGAAACACTACCCTGAGCTCATCCATACAGGTTTCCATCTCCACCTGGTGGTCCCGTTTGCCCCCCCCCATTACATCCTCTGTGCTAGAAATGTTCCAATCTTCCCTTAATAACCCATTAGATTCTTCTCATCCGTAAAATGATCCAAACCCTCCCTATCAATGTTTTCAGCCTGTCACATGTTTCTAGGAACTACACCTTAAAACAAATTTACACAGTGTGATGTAGCAATAACTTTTCGTTCTCAATGAACTTCTTCAATGTTTGAAAGGAGGAAAGCAAACGGTTCCTGGATCTTGGCAGTTGGCATCAGCATCTGGCATAACTCCCTCCATCCCTGTGCCCATTTTATAGTTTTTTTAAAGAATTTATTTATTTGAGAGAGAGAGAGCACGAGCCAGGGGGGAGGGGCGGAGGGAGAGGGAAAAGCAGACTCCCCGCTGAGCAGGGCTCCCTCCCAGGACCCCAAGATCACCACCTGATTGGAAGTCAGATGCTTAAGCTTACCCAACTGAGCCACCCAGGCGCCCCCCACACACACACACACATGCCCATTTTATAGATGCAGGGCTGCAGGTTCTGCTCCACAGTCGCCCTTGAGAGCTGCCAAGGCTGGTGGGGCTTGGTGAAGACTGCTGGGACAGGGCCTTCCTGCCCAATGGCTGGGTCTGCAGGCTCCTGGCTTGGAGGGAAGCGTGGCTTGTGCCTTTGCCCCACACTCAAAGGACACTTTGAGGTAGTCCCCTCTTCACGGGAAAAGTCTGAACCTAAGCATCTTAACTAGTAGCAGATCTGGGGACCGGAGACAAGCATCTGCCCTGCTTTTTCCAACAAGAAAACCAAGTCAGCCAGAAGGTTCGAAAGCGCTTTCTGTCATTTCTCCTGCAGTCAGCTATTCTTCCCCACAGATTTTTCTCATCATGTGATAGTCCCTGGCCTACCTCCTCCATGTAAAATTGAGGTTTGGCTGCAGGGGACAAACTCCCATGCTGAAAACTCTCCATGCCTAACATCAAGCCATTGGCATTTCTGGTATGCTTTTTGAGGCAAGACTGGTATGCTTACCCCAAGAGAAAGAACAAATTCCCTAAGAAATTGCTTTCCAGGGGAGCAAAACGGAGTTAGGCAGATGATGCAAATCTGCATTCTAGTGGAGCAAGGGACAAGCAAAGGTGACAGAAGCAGGGCTGTGACAGGTGAGCATGGCAGTTGGGGGTGGGGGGTCCTGCACCAGGGCGGGGCCTGACCCGGGGGTGAGATGCAGGGAAGGCTTTCCAGGAAGGAAGGTAAGGCCTGGTCTGAGGCTCCAGGCGTGAGTGGGAGTTGGTCGGTGGAGAAGGGGAGGGGCCTCCTGGCAGAGCCGCCGGGAGTACGGAGTGAGGTACGTCTGGTCTGGTCCGTCCAGGAGAAGAGAGCAAGTACCAGGAAATGTAAGTCAGCCGGTTTGGCAGGAAGGTGGGAGCTGGGGAGTGATTAAGGGCAAAGCTGGAGAAGTGGATGGGGGCTCAGATCACTAAGGGTCTCATAGAGGAGGCTAAAAGAGGAACGGAGATTTTAACCTAAAGGTAGCCGGGAGCCAGAGAAGGTTTCTAAGCAGAGGAGTAACCTGATGGGATTCTAGAGGAGTCCCTCTGGCAGTCACGTGGAGAATGGATGTGTCAGGGAGCAGGGCGACAACGG